GCTGATATGTATATGATGTATGTGCCAAATTCGAATGAAAATGGTATATAAATTGTGGAAATATAGTAGTAAGGCCAAAAAGTCAGATGGCTGTCATTCGGCCATCCTTGACTAGATTTTGAAACAAATTGTCATGGACATGCATCCTAACATGTATAAAGTACATGTATGTGCCAAATTTGAATGAAAACTGACAAGATACCGCATAAAATCTTTGATCCAATTGCGAAATAAATCGTCATGGACATGTATCCTAACATAAATAATCTATGTACCAAGTTTGAATGACAACTGACAAAGCATGTCCAAAATACAACATTTTACAAAAAACAAGATGGCTGCCAGTCGGCCATTTTGAATCGAATCTCTAAACCACTGCATGTGCATATGTCCCACATAAGGTACTAGGCACATGCAAAGAATGAACGGAATCGGTCCACAGGATTCTGAAATATGACTCTGGACAGACTGACGCACGGACGGACACACGGACGGACGAATGGTCAGGGACATGTATCTTAACATGTATGATCTATGTACTAAATTTGAATAAAAACTGACAAAGCATGTTCAAAATACAACATTTTCAAAAAACAAGATGGCTGCCAAACGGCCATCTTTGATCCAATTGCGAAATAAATCGTCATGGACATGTATCCTAACATGTATAATCCATGTACCAAGTTTGAATGAAAACTGACAAAGCATGTCCAAAATACAACATTTTACAAAAAACAAGATGGCTGCCAGTCGGCTATTATGAATCGAATCTCTAAACCACTGCATGTGCATATGTCCCACATAAGGTACTAGGCACATGCAAAGAATGAACGGAATCGGTCCACAGGATTCTGAAATATGACTCTGGACAGACGGACACACGAACGGACGGACGAATGGATGGACGAACAGACTCACGAACGGTCAGGGACATGTATCCTAACATGTATAATCTATGTACCAAGTTTGAATGAAAACTGACAAAGCATGTCCAAAATACAACATTTTCAAAAAACAAGATGGCTGCCAGTCGGCCATTTTGAATCGAATCGCTAAACCACTGCATGTGCATATGTCCCATATAAAGTACTTGGCACATGCAAAGAATGAACAGAATCGGCCCAAGGGATTCTGAGATATGACTCCGGACGGACGCAAGAACGCACAGACGGACGGAGATCGAATTATAAGTCCCCGTTTGCGGACTTCGTCCGAACAGGGACTAATTAAGGCTTCACTCTGGGTTGTTAAATTTGCATTCTGAGTTCATTTATAGGGCTTTATTGGGGTATTAGAACTATCATGTGAACTATTTGATAGTATGAATATGAACAAATTGCATGAAATAATTGCTCATTGGCCTGAATTTGGCCTTACTATGAATTAATATCGACTGCAAATCTTTGAGAATCGTCATGTGTTGAACGCTTTACGACTAGCGAATGTACTTTCAACACACTGACAAATGGGAAGCAGAAACAAACACTAACGCTCGGACGCGCAGAAAATCATTGGTTATTCGCAAAAATAAATATTTCACATAATTGTCCCAGACACCAATATGACTGTAACTTTTAAGAGTCACAGTGACTTTGACACACACTATTGTGTTACCAGTCACATGGTTATAACTGTACAAGGTACTCACCATCACATTTCAAACCTTGCCTAACAATGCCAAAAAGCATTTCTCCACAAAAATCACAAAAAGTAGGAGACTTGTAGGAATGTACAAATAACGAATGAGGTCTGATATGCGAGTCTTCTAGACTGGCTGAAGCTGGTAAAAAAAGAAGAAAAACAATATTACTCAACAAGTAAGTTTAGTATAAAAACACAACATAATGATTGGTCAATTGGTGATGTGGGATTATATACATTTATCACACATGTGATAAACAAATTCTCGAAAATGACATTAATTTGGAAATACACATCCACCGCTTCAAACCGCAGTTGTAAACATTTCATGATTTACTGTGTCAGAAAAGAACTGGCTGACCATGTATCCAGTGTCACTGGAATTCAAAGTAGTACTTATCAGAGATGTGAACTTGATGCAGTTCAGGCTTGGTATTTTTCAATCCCAGGTGGCAGAGTGAGCTTTTCTGCTGAGCTGTGCATCTGTGTTTGAACCGACTTACCTGGATGCTTAGTTTTTTTTTAGCATGTTTGGTGATTGTGGACATTCATTTTTTTAATTATATAATTCTACAACTAAAACATTCCACACTATTTATTATTCAAAACGTAAATATCTGTTTTTTCTGGGACGACTCTCTGCTAGCAATTACAATGTACTGTGATTTGATTGCATTTATTGTAACAAAATTACATTGAAGTTATCGTGATCCTGTGTTCCAAGGATCCCACTGAAAACTTCACTGCGATGCAAAATTTTGTGATTTTCCCAAAATTTAGATCTTGAGAATTAACACATCATCAGCTTAACAGCCTTTTTTCATATTTTGGTATTTGAAGGCTTTCAGCGAGTGATTTAACATTTTCACCACCAGACATCCTTGCCCAAATTTTTCTGCAATTTCTCTTATATTCTTCAATATTTCTGGACATGGACCCTATTTTGGAACCAACAGACAAAATTTTAGTCAATTTTTGGTATTTGACCCAATCTTCTGAAAGAAAGTGCAGACTATAAACTGGACTATTTTTTGAATTTGCGATGAAAAGAGGGAACATATAAATAGCATAAAAGAAAAATATTGCATTAATTTTACCGAAACGAAATAAATTGTTATTTTACCAGACATCTTCATTCAGATATTCACAATAATTATTTTGCCAGTCTTCGGATATTTAATTAAACACAAATCTGTGGGTACTTTTTCATCTCGCTGTCAAATATTTGGACAGGTAATTGCTTCATAACAGAATATTCATTTTAATAATGATAGCTCATTGGCTCGCTGATCAGATTTGTCATAAATCTAATGTATTTTACACAGCATTTGATTGTTAATTCCTAATTAATCTACATTCCAGGTCTAAATTGTCAGTGTATATGCATTTCAAATCCAGATCAACATTCCATAAATTCGTGACGTGAAACATATGTGTACAGGCAAGAGTTGACAGCACCCTCTATTGTGATAATGATTTAAACTTTCATTTTAAGTGGGCTCTTGAATGTCTATGCAAAGATGTGGGAATGTGAATGATACAAAGACAATTCAGATAATTTTACTAAAGTAGATGATTAATGGTTAAACATCGATTTAATGAGTTTGAAATTGTCAATACTGTAGAAATCTTATTGTCATTTGGACTATATTTTTACTTACTTTATTCATAAAATCTAGCGCAAATATTTTTGTTATTTCAGATTGTTTACAGAGGTTTTATGACAAATCAGTTAAAACATGACAGAGTCCCTGTTGTTTAATAATAAACAACACTGAAATGAGTCAGTTATTTTGATTCATAACTTGAAACAAATGCATGTTAATATGTCTGACACGATGTATAAAATAGTTGTAAAATTTGACTTTAATCAAGGCATGTCAAAGATACGGATATCCGATCTGATGATACCATTATATTCAATGTACTAAGTTTAAACAAAAGATTCGGATCTGGCAGAAACACTTGATTTTGAGGCATTTTTAACAATACCTGTAAAATAGCAGTCATTCAGCCATCTTGAATTGGACTGTCAAACATAACATGATGTACCGGTATGATGTATATTTAAAGTTTGATCAGTCAAGATACATGGTACAGTGATTTAAAACAAAATGGTAAGTAGTCAGCTATTTTGAATTCGATCAGAAAAACAAAATGGACAAGGTCTCATGATAATTAATAGACATGTATGTAAGTTTGAACGAAATCCATTCCATCCAGAGCCATTCAGAAATTGCAGAAATGCTACATTTTGATGTATTTTTCATGACATTTATGCTCATTCCCTAGGTAACCAATAATGCAACAAAAAACATGTTAGTATTGTTATGTAATCTGGTAAAACAAAATTCACATGAAACAAAATAAATATAAAAACAAAAGAAATAGAGGCCACAAGTTTGATCTAACAGACTTAGTGGGCACACACAATCTTTCTTTCTTTTTTTGAAAACCTCTATCTCAGCTGTAACCATGCTGATCTATTATTTGATTGTGATTCTATTTTGATTCAATATCACTAAAAAATCAGTTATGTTAGAGGACACACTGGTCAATATAGATTCATGATTTGTATTAGTTGATAATAGTTAATTTCTAGTGAGATTACCTGAAAGCACCACCTCAATCAAACATCCTTCCGTTACATCGCTTGGCATAGTAACCATTTGTAGTACATTGCTACTGCCGACATCGTGGCGAAATAACATGATTTTATCAACAACATTGTACAGTCCTGCATCTGGGTACTGTAATGTAAACAGAAAATGAAGAGGGAATTAGATTAAGTCTTCATAATTAATATACACAGATTTTAACTTGAAACTTGTTAGGTCTGTGTATTGTTCTTTGTAGAGTATATATGCACCACGTTTTATTGAAATGTGATTATTAAAACCTGAGAAATCGATGGAAATGTCGAAAATAGACTAATAATTATGTAAATTAGGTAATTAGTATGCACTGATGTTGACCAACACTTATCAGGTGTGCACATAGTCCCAGATCACATATGTACCATACTAAATTTCATTGAAATCCAACGAGCAGTTCTTCAGATATCCATGGAACTAAAATACATACATACACTCATACAATGTACCCCGGTACAAACATGTACATACATACATACATACGTATGTACATACACACAGACAGGGTAACTGCAAATACTCCCATTGAATGCTTTGGACCAGGAAGTCGAATACATGTTATGACACAATAAATATGTTAACAAAACTACGCAGATTGACAATGTAAAAACTAAAAAGACTGTCATCAATGCTTAGTACAAATTAAAACTGGTTTAACGGCAATGGATATTGCGAATACCATAAAATCATTTTTTCTCCCAAAAATCAACAATTATTAGATTAAAACTGGAAAACAAATTTTGATATGATTTATATTATCAAGCAGCAGTGATTAGAAAATACACAACATCCCTGGCTGTGTACCCTGACAAAAGGGTAAAACTTGTTTTGTCATCACGTCTGTATCAATAGAGATTCACTAAAAACTCCATGTATTTCCACAAACTCGATAACCATCTGTTTATTTATTTGGGTTTTGATCAGCAGTTTGTTTGTTTTTTAGGCAAGGCATTGAAGCAGACCAACTAATATGTTGGAGTAGTCGACCATATCCTAAACTGTTATCATGCAGTCACAACTGGTGGTGCAATTAAATGGCACCACCATCGTGACATAGGCAATGATATGCTGGTATATCACAGATCACTCATCGTACATGTCTGAAAGCATGGAAAGTATGCAGCTATTACAGTATCCAGCAATGCCATGAAATGAAGGGGAATAAATTAGCAGTTACATGTAAAATTGACTTAATTCTGAAATCAACAAGGCGTATTAAAATAATATTTAATTGGTACAAAGCACAGACTACATTGAAATTTTTTTTAAATATTTTATGTCAGTGTTAACACTGTATTGTTCCTGCCAAAATTTCACATCACATTTTTATAAATTTTTCTCTAATTTGTTAATTTCTAATTAGCAAATATTTGACAGAATATGGGAAAAAATAATGCAGGTTTATTTTGTAAAAGACCACAAAATATGGTATTCAAAGGTGAAATGAGAAATATGCAAATTAGTGGCTTAATATAAATAGTCATTGCTACAAAACTAAACATGTCTGCACATTACCCCAAGGTAATTATGTAACAAATCTGAACAACATCTGCTGAGAAGTTTTTGAGATTTTGCTTTCCCAGGCTGAAATGAGATAATTAATATGCAAATTAACTACTTAACATGCACAAACATGACCTCAAAACTGATCATGTCTGCACAGTATCGCAAGGTCCCTAACTAAAAAACATCCATGCCTTCATGAAATTCAATGTACTGGTATTATGACATAATAAAATATTAAAATTTATATTATAAAATGGAGCATATTTAGGTTAATGACTTTTGAGTTGACAAAAAACAATTATACTGCATCATGGTTGATTATTATTGACCCTAAAGACTTTCTCATTAAAAGCAAGGTGAATTTTACATTGCAAAGTCCAATCCAAAATGTTTGAAAGTCTAACAGTTGGTATTACCGGTATGTAAATGTGAAAATAGCTTCTTCGTCAAAAAAGCTAATTTGAAGTCATGTCATGACATGACATGACATGACAGAGTCCCTATGAAGTAGTAAAGTTTGATTGTGATCAGTTGATGTACGTCAGAGACAGCATTTGTATTCAAGCATTTTGAATTTGATCTGGAAGAAAAATATGGTTCATTTTAATATACAAGTTTATTGTATGTACAAAGATGGACAATAGCTGTCCACGTATAACCAAGATTGATGTTAAGAGTGGCAGAAATGCTTGATTTTGATAAATTTTAACATTAAAAAGGCTACCATTTGACCATCTTGAATCTGATCATCAAACAACTTATATGTGAATATGTGCGAATGCTGTACTAGAACCTAAAAAGTTTGAACGTGATTGGTCAAAGCATGTTAGAGATATGGCCTTAGAATAGTATTTCTTTTAAAACAATGGCCGCCAGTTGGCAATTTTGATTCCCATCTGAAAAACAAAATGACATGCAAATGAAGGTCTCGTTATGTCTAATGCATATACCAAATTTTAATGAAATACCATACACAACGAAGATCCAGCACCGAATGACAGAAATGCTTGATTTTGATGAAATTTTAGCACTAAAAATGGCTGCTATTCGAACATTTTAAGTTGGATTATGAAACAAATGCAATAGCATATGTATGATATGATGCATGTTAAACTGACCTGAGCATAGCTGAGATACAGGTGGAAAGAGACTGAAGCACAGAGGTGAAATTATAACTCCCTGTTTTCAGACTACATCTGATTGGTGACTAAAAAGTTTGTACTGAAAATCTCAGTAAAATGATAGTCAAAGCATTTAATTTAGGTCACCTCCTTACCTCGCTGTCAAATCTAGCACAGTGAAGCACATGTTACAAAAGATAGATACTAAACTTGAACACATTATCGTTATCTGGCCAGCTTTCCATGTAGTTAACGAGGCAACTACAAAGATTATAAAAACATGATATCCTCGGCAAAATAATAATGTAGACAAATTGATGCAAACAGCCAGGTCATTTAGGCAGTACAAGGACCTCTAAACTCAGGTTCAATATCACACATTTGAAGGACAAAAAATCACTCAGACACATGAGTCATTGGGTAATGAGCTATGTGCTTGGACTACAAGTACACATGTACAATATTTGTGACAACTCTAAAACAAGAACCTCATTCTATAGAATCTTAATAATAAACAAGCAGCCTATCGGCTGAGATAGCTCCGCTGTTAGCAATGCACATTTAAATTAAAGAACTGAAGACATCATTAGAAAATGAACAATATGAATAGTATCAAAGCAATCGGACTTACAGTTTTCAACAAGAAGTCGAAAATATCACTTTTTACCAAAAATGACAAAAATATTCACCAAAATTAGAGAATTGAAGATATCATCACGAAATGAACAAATCTGAGAGAGGTCCACATGTAGTACCTATATATGTAGTATCAAAGCAATTGGACTTGCGGTTTTTAACAAGAAGTCGAAAATATCACTTTTTACCAAAAATGACAAAAATATTCACCAAAATTAGAGAATTAAAGATATCATTACAAAATGAACAAATCTGAGAGAGGTCCACATGTAGTACCTATATATGTAATATCAAAGTAATTGCACTTGCGGTTTTTAACAAGAAGTCGAAAATATCACTTTTTACCAAAAATGACAAAAATATTCACCAAAATTAGAGAATTAAAGATATCAACATGAAATGAACATACCTAAGAGAGGTCTACCCAAGGTACATATAAACCAAGTATCAAAGCATTCAGGCTTGTAGTTTTCAAGAAGAAGTCGAAAAAGTAAAACATTGACACGGACGACGACGGACAATCACTCATATGATAAGCTCCGCTCGACAAAGTCGACAGCGGAGCTAAAAAATGACAAATAACACTAACTTATTTGTTGGTTGAAATACTGTGAATTCATTTATTATTCAATGGTTTTTAATTGCACTATTGTTGAAGGGAATTTCAAGTGAAAAATAGTGTAAGTAAATGCCAGTGAAAAAATTGTTTTCATTACCACTTTCTTTGTAGTACAGAGTACCCGGTAATCAAACTTCAAACAAAACCAGCATGCAGTCTCTTGGCTGATATAGCTCCGCTGTTAGCAATGCACATTTCAATTATAGGATTGAAGATATCATCACAAAATGAACAAATCTGAGGGAGGTCCACCTGTAGGACCTTTATGTAAAATATCAAATTAGTCAGACGGTTTTTAACAAGAAGTCGAAAATATCACTTTTTACCAAAAATATCATCACGAAATGAACAAAACTTAGAGAGGTCTACCTGAGGTACATGTACATGTATAATAATCAAAGCAATTGGACTTACCGTTTTTAACAAGGAGTTGGAAATGTAAAAAGTTGACAAAGACGACAGTGGAGCTAAACAGTAAATATGATTAACTCCGCCAGACTTTGTCGTTGTCAAAGTTGTCAGACTAGTTGTCTGGGCCATGATGGGATGACGCAGTCCAAATAAACATTGGGTTGTAATGTGGTCAACATAACCAAGATATTAAAGGTGCATACACCACTTGTGTGTGTGTGCATGTGCATGCAAGCATGTGCGATACATAGTCCACTTCAACATTAACCATGTTGGTACAAAACACAAACTGCTCATTTGCTATATGTTTACATGGTAGCATGCCAAACTACGGCCCCTCCCACCGTTTAACAAAAGATTATCTCCAATGCGTTTACACGATCGGGGCTGAACAAGAGCCAAGACCCGCCCAAATTCAATTCAGTTCGTTCAGAGCCGAACGGAACAGCTTTCTTTTGGTGTTGTGCTTGTGTTGTTGTTTCTTTACATGGCACTTAAAACGGTTAAAAAACGCTTTCTTTAAGGTGTGGTTAGGGGATTATCTCCAGCGATGCGTGTCAAAACCTAATTACGTGGGTTTGAAACTTGCCCACCATTTTAGTTTTTTTTTTTTTAGTAACCATGAGCTGAGAGAAAAAGGAAACAGCCATGATTCTGAGACAATACACTGGTGTCATGATTCAGGTATCTCGAATAAACAGGATACACAGCAGCTAAAATACATTACATATGTTACAGCTACTCACATAAGTACACCATTTTTCTGTTTCTCGTGGAGCTATTACAATCTATTGCTTTATTTC